GAGACTGCCATAGTGTAAAACTTTAAAACACTTTATGTATCGTAAAAACACACACTTTAATTCACATTAAAAAGTGTTTTGCCTTGTAATTAACAGTTTTAGGGAACCTGCTCCATATATTGCAATGGGGATCAGTCCCTTCCTACTCCTCCCAAGGTGTATAGTAAGTCACTTCCAGGTGACTGTGTTGTATGATGTCCCTTCCTGGCCAACTCAGCATTGAAAATATGATGTGATCTTTGGCAGGCGACGTGTAACTAGATCTTCACGCCTATATTTCTTTATATACATAAAAGTGCACGGCTTAAAAAGATAGAAATAATCATAAGAAAGCAGTGGAAAATGTGTCAAAAAAATAGTCCATCCAAAAATAAAAGAAAAGAAAAGTCCCAGATGCTGTGATGAAACAAAAGAAATCCAAGGACATGATGACGTTACCTGTGACGAAACGCATAGGGTAGAGCCACGCACACATGCTACTGCGCATGCACGAACGACTGGAAGCCATTTTGGAAATTGGAACTTGGAAATTTTTTGCCTAATGATGTTTGCTTACATGTAAGTGCAACCATACTTTAAATAAATGTTGTAATTATGGTTTTACACTATGTGGAACGTTCTTTATTTGCATGTTTTCCACTACGAGTCCAAGCCTTATCCTGAATGGTTTAGCTACCCTAATTAAGGTCCATTGTTTGGAAGATCCTTATCTGCTGTATTGGTGATCTGGAAAAGGATTCCAGTGACTGACTTTCTGGATTGTTTAACAAAGTGAAATTGACCACTCTTAACAGGGGGTCATGCCTTTCTGGTAAGCCTTCTGTAGTAGTGGTTGGCGACAGGACAACTGTCCTTGGATTTCTTTTGTTTCATCACAGCCTCTGGGACTTTTCTTTTCTTTTATTTTAGGAAGGACTATTTTTTTGACACATTTTTCACTGTTTTTTCTTATGATTATTTGTAACTTTTTAAGCGCTGCACTTTTATGTATATATTGTTGATTGCCTAGTATCAGGGTTTTTGTGTTCAGCTGCTATATGTTTTACAGCTCATTTTTGATTATTGATTATCTATTGTGGTTCTTATTAGCACCGGTTTATATATATATTTAGCCTATATTCCTATGACTGGCTCCCTGTACCATGCTACCATCAACTTCCCATTCAGACTCTTCATCTGTGAAAGCTGCATGGTGGATAGTGGATTCTAGAACTGACAGTCAGATGAATGCAGAGCAGCGGCTGCCCAGCCAGGAAGAGGAAAACTGTACAGCTGATCTGGTGTAGGGCACTTGGCTTGTCCTGAAATTAATTACTTGGGGAGAATGAGCAAAGATAAAGAGGGCTTTGTTACTTTGTTACTAAAAATATTAAAATAATGTGAGTTCTGCATGTCAGGAATTACATCAGGTGTTTCATTCCAGAATCCCTTTAGACATGTGTAGCTCTTACCCCCACAGGAGCCACTGATGATGATGAGTCCTCTGTTTTGTCACAATTCTCCGAACTGCTCAGTCCCCACTGACACACTTGGTCTTAAACTAAAAGCATTGGTGGACTTAAAGGTTAGCGCTCTTTTGGAATATACAGGAAAGAAGACACAAATAACTCTGTGGTAAATCAACTGAATATATTATGGTAACTCAAAGCAACACGGTATAAATCAGTAAATAAACAAATATACAAACATAAAGGCACTATGGTCAATGCCCCACTAACAGGCACTCAATGGCTATAGCAAAGTTAACATTAGGTATCACAGTTGCAACTCAAATCTTTGTGGTGGCATCAACTAACAAAAGGTAAAAGGGTCCTTGTGCACACGCAATGCATATAACCGGGGTTGCCAACCTCACACAATGTTTTATACTGACAGCATGGGAAATTTTCTGACAGAACACATTTTTTTTACTGACAACCGGAAAAAAAATAACAGAACACCTCTTAGAAATTAAAACAATCAATATTTAAGCAGTAAAAACACAATCTGTAAACACTGACCTAACCCATAACAGGTAATTGGTCTGGTTTTAAATTTAAAAGTCAACATAACATGACAAATTAGCAGCCACCCTGCTGGGATATAGTTAAAAAGCAAGTTCTGTTATGCATCCCAAAGAGATCAATGGGCATAACCATATTGCATCTAATAATGGGAGTGGCCCTAAAGAGGATAATTAAACAGAACTGCTCCCTGACCACCTACCTCTAAATTAACATAGCATCTGCTTGGGTGAGTACACATTGCCATAGCCTTGATGCTTACCTTCACAATGCGACAATTTTAACTCAACATGTCAAGTTTCATAGTCAGCATTGCCTGTCAAACATACAGGCATTCCCCCTTTTCCCCAAATCTCCACCACCCCCAATACAGTGCTCTACTCCCAACTAAAATCTCCCTCCTTGACAGTACCTGATAGAGAACTGCTGCAGAAGAGCAAGATAGGTTATTCAGGAGGAGAGTGTAGTGTAGCTCTGGAGCACTTGGCAACTTGGGCACAGGTTTCAGGAGCTGTTGCCCCCAGACAACACAAAGTTCCAACTACCTATCTATGCAGAGAGGCGGAGCACAGTTGAGATCACTCTGCAGTCTGAACTAGAGGAGCAGGATCAGCAAATGCGGCCACATGCTCCTTCTGCCGCTGTCTCCAGCCTGCTTCTATTTAAAAATAATCCCAACTGACTTTAAACTCTGCCTGGATAAGTAGCTGCTGGTGCTGCATTAAGCTGTCAACAGTTCTTTTTTACACTTGCCAAGCCAAGACTAACTTGCCTGAAAAAAAAAACTAATTTATACTGATTTAAAATGTCTCTAATGGACATTTACAACTGTAAAAATCACTGATTATGATAAACTGTCAGTAAATGAACTGATGATTGGCAGCCCTGCATGTAACCCCTATGGCACATGGGTATTTGAGACTCTAGTGCAGGGGTGGGCAAACTTTTTGACTTGAGGGCCGCAATGGGTTCATATATTGGACCCGGGGGCCGGACCAAGAGTAGATGAATGATGTGTATGTGTCATCCATAGTAAGTATAGTAATATTCCCCCATAGTAAGCATAGTAATTCATCCCCCATATAGTAATTCATCCCCCATAGTAATTCATCCCCCATATAGTAATTCATCCCCCATATAGTAATTCATCCCCCATAGTAATTCATCCCCCATAGTAATTCATCCTCCATAGTAATTCATCCCCCATATAGTAATTCATCCCCCCATATAGTAATTCATCCCCCATATAGTAATTCATCCCCCATAGTAATTCATCCCCCATAGTAATTCATCCCCCATATAGTAATTCATCCCCTATAGTAATTCATCCCCCATAGTAATTCATCCCCCATATAGTAATTCATCCCCCATAGTAATTCATCCCCCATATAGTAATTCATCCCCCATAGTAATTCATCCCCCATATAGTAATTCATCCCCCATAGTAATTCATCCCCCATAGTAATTCATCCCCCATAGTAATTCATCCCCCATATAGTAATTCATCCCCCATAGTAATTCATCCCCCATATAGTAATTCATCCCCCCTATAGTAAGTCCCCCCTGTGTCAATTTACTTACCTTTGCTCCGCGCGTTCCTCTCGCCGTGTTCCCGCGCCGTTCCGGTCTTCAGGGCGGACTGTAAGAGGAGCCTAGCTCCCCTCACGTTCGTCACACTGCCCCGCCTACACACATCCTGACAACCTCACATCACGCTCCGCGGGCCGGATTAAAAGGCCCGCGGGCCGTAGTTTGCCCATTGCTGCTCTAGTGAATGGGGTACCCCTAAATATGGCTGAAAGTACCTGGTGCTTGCTATTCAATGTTGGACAGCTTCAAGTCCCAGATACTCACACAGACCATACTCTCTCAGTAGAGATCCGGAAGAGGCAGCAACTCTCTCTCTCAACCCAACTTCTAAGGGCAGCTCTAGCAGGCTCAAGTGCAAGTTCCTCCCCCCTCTCTGATGTGGGGGAACAGACATAGCAACATGTCCTCTTAGTTCCTCTCTAATGCCTCTGGTCCCTCAGATCTGCTTCAGTTTTCCTGGGAATACTGTGAAGCTCTCCTCTTCTAGGTGCAGCCACATGTGGGAATTGAAGCCATTAGTCTCCAACAGCAAGTATGGTGTAGATCCCCCTTCAGAACTACAGTTCTCTTTGAGGTTTCCATCGACTTCTTATTTTCCTCCCTCTGATTGGATCCACGGTGCACTGCCAGGAGGGAAGTGGGAGAGCAGGAGTGAGCAAACAAGACAGACAGCTAACAGTGAGAGAAAAAAAAAAACTGACTGTGTTCCTCTCTTCCTCTGTATGGGATTAAGGGGGGGGGGGGGGGCAGAAGATCACAGAGACAGCTGCACCCAAGCATGATTCTAAAAGCTTGCTTAGAACCTGCTGACAGAAGTCACAAAGGATGATGTGCAGCTGAAGTGTCTTCCTTCTGTACCTTCTCTATTTGTATTTATGATATATACACTATATTGCCAAAAGTATTGGGCTGCCTTCCTTTACACACACTTTAATGATATCCCAGTATTAGTCCATAGGGTTCAATATTGAGTTGGCCCACCCTTTGCAGCCATAACAGTTTTAACTCTTCTAGGAAGGTTGCCCACAAGGTTTAGGAGTGTGTCTATGAGAATGTTTGACCATTCTTCCAGAAGTGCATTTGTGAGGTCAGGCACTGATGTTGGACAAGAAGGCCTGGCTTGCAGTCTCCACTCTAATTCATCCCAAAGGTGTTCTATTGTGTTAAGGTCAGGACTATGCACAGGCCAGTAAAGTTCCTCCAACCCAAACTCGCTCATCCATGTCTTTATGGACTTGCTTTCTGCTCTGGTGAGTAGTTCTGTTGGAACAAAAAGGGGCCATCTCCAATGCAGTCAGGCAAGTACCGTTTTCCTGGCAGCTGCCAAACCCAGAAACGTCCATGAGATTGCCAGGCAAAGAAGTGTGATTGGTCACTCCAGAGAACATGTCTCCACTGCTCTAGAGTCCAGTGGTGGTGTGCTTTATGCCACTTGCATCCAACGCTTTTCATTGTACTTGGTGATGTAAGGCTTGGATGCAGCTGCTCGGCCATGGAAACCCATTCCATGAAGCTCTCTATGTACTCTTGTTGTGCTATTCCGAAGGCCACCCGAAGTTTTAAGGTCTTTAGTTATTGACTCTGCATACAGTTGGTGACTTCTGTGCACTATATGCTTCAGCATGCACTGACCCTGCTTTGTCATTTTACGTGGCCTACCACTTTGTGGCTGAGTTACTGTTGCACTCAGTTGCTTCCACTTTGTTTTTAATACCACTAACAGTTGACCATGGAATATTTAGTAGCAAGGAAATTTCATGGATGAACTTATTGCACAGGTGGCAATCTATCATGGTACCACGCTTGAATTCACTGAGCTTCTGAGAGCGACCCATACTTTCACAGATGTTTGTAGAAGCAGTCTGCATGCCTAGGTACTTGATTTTGTACACCTGTGTAGCTGAGTGGAACAACTGAATCCAATGATTTGGAGCGGTGTCCCAACACTTTTGGCAGTATAGTGTATATATGTATATATAGTGTATATATGTGTATATATATATATATATATATATATATATATATATATAATATATGTGCATGCATTCTTCCTGAGACTGGATTTTAAACATGCGCTATATTAAATTAATGTTTTATAGCTCTTAGCACTGAAAGCATCAAATCAACCAATTACAAGTAGAAAATTAACATTTAGATCCCATTCACACCATGGCCATAATGTCATGACACACTGTATATGTTGCTCGCACCCCAATGCACATCTACAGTGTACTACAATTCTTCTATGTTAAAGAACAGCGCAATGCATTGGACCTTTTATGTGCATATTGAGGTACATTGCCAGCTCGTTCATTTTAAATAGTCTGCCTAATGCAAAGCACCTCTGTGCCTTAAAACATTTTGCAGCCCACAGCATTATTGTGTTAATAGAACTTTAACCCTTATTTCAAACACAAAGGTTAATGTATCCTTTATGTTTGAAGACTGCCATTATCACAGTTTCTCTAAACCTGCATTCTTTTACATGGGTAAAATGAATCATGGAATTATACTTAATTTCCAATTATATCAAAGTTAGATTAGCTGCAAACATCTTAATTAGCAGCTAGGCTGGCCACAGTCTCATCATTTATTGTTAATGTACATGTGATATACATCTCCTCGACAGTGCCAGGAATAGACATTTCATCGTTGTAAGCTCCCTGCTCATTCAGGATTGACATAGTTAATGAATAACAGGGAACAACATTCTGTGTTTGCCAAACTTAGAAATCACCCACTGAGTCCTGTCACTTTTGCCTTCTGCTTGATTAATAATAACATATTCCGCTCCTTATTTCGGGAAAAATCATTAAATACATGGACAACAGAAAGGATAATGTCCTTTAAATGTTGAACAGCAACACACACCAGGGAAAACTTGCTCTGTACTTTTGTTTGCCTTAGCGGCTGCCCAGTAACCCCAATGTCCTTTGCACAGATGGTTCCACTTGAAAAGATTGTTCAGTTATTAAAGGAAATCTGTAATGACAGAATATGGAGGCTAGAACAAAGAATATATCCAAGAAGGCTATGAGTATGAATGATTATGGAGGCTGCCATTGCTGATCTCTTTTTCTAAAAATGCAATATATTGCCAAAAGTATTGGGACGCCTGCCTTTACATGCACATGGAGTTTAATGGCACACCAGTCTTAGTCCATAGGGTTCAATATTGAGTTGGCCCAACCTTTGTAGCTATAACAGCTTCAACTCTTCTGAGAAGACTGTCCACAAGGTTTAGGAGTTTGTCTATGGGAATGTTTGTCCATTCTTCCAGAAACAGATTTGTGAGGTCAGGAACTGATGTCAGACGAGAAGGCCTGGCTCGCAGTCTACACTCTAATTCATTCCAAAAGTGTTCTATTGGGTTGAAGTCAGGACAGGCTAGTCAAGTTCATCCACCCCAAACTCGCTCATCCAAGTCTTTATGGACTTGCTCTGTGCACTGGTGCGCAGTTATGTTGGAACAGGAAGGGGCCATCCCTAAACTGTTCCCACAAAGTTGGGAGCATGAAATTGTCCAAAATGTCTTGGTATGCTGATGTCTTAAGAGTTCTCTTCAATGGAACTAAAGGGCCAAGCCCAAACCCTGAAAAGCAACCCCAAGCCATAATCCCCCCTCCATCAAACTTTACACTTGGCACAAAGCAGTCAGGCCAGTGCCGTTCGGCCGGCAACTTTCAAACCCAGACACGTCTATAAGATTGCCAGACATAGATGTGTGATTCATCACTCCAGAAAACACATCTCCACTGCCCTAGAGTCTAGTGACGGATTGCTTTACACCACTGTATCCGACACTTTGGATTGCACTTGGCGATGTAAGGCTTGGTCATGGAAACCCATTCCATGAAGCTCTCTGTGCACTCTTGTTGTGCTAATCTGAAGGCTACATGAAGTTTGGAGGTATTTAGCTACTGACTCTGCAGACAGTTGGTGACTTCTGCGCACCGTGCTCTTCAGCATGCGCTGACCCTGCTCTGTCATTTTTCGTGGCCTACCATTTCGTGACTGAGTTGCTGTTGTTCCCAATTGCTTCCATTTTGTTATAATACCACTAACAGTTGACCGTGGAATATTTAGTAGCAAAGAAATTTCATGGATGGATTTAATGTACAGGTGGCAACCTATTACGGTACCACTTTTGAATTCATTGAGCTCCTGAGAGCGACCCATTCTTTCACAAATGTTTGTAGAAGCAGTCTGCATGCCTAGGTGCTTGCTTTATACACCTGTGGCCATGGAGGTGATTGGAACACCTGAATCCAATAATTTGATGGGGTGTCCCAATACTTTTGGCAATATAGTGTATAAGTTGCCTATCTGGTATGCTGATACAATGGCTTCAAGACTTTCTGAGGAACTAGTATGAAACAATTTTGATTAGATAGATTAAAGATTCTGACTATACTTGGACTTTCCGTATCGGCCAGAAAATGACCACCCAGGACATAATAATAATAGTGGATATAATGGTATTCTTAGAAATAGGAATGACTCCCTCCCACCATATATATCGCAGGGTACTAGAAAACTGGATGCAAACTGTAAATTTTACAAAACAAGGAGGTGTCTCTGGACAATTTTTGGTTAACCACTTGCCTACCGGGCACTTATACCCCCTTCCTACCAAGCCAATTTTCAGCTTCAGCGCTGCCGCACTTTGATTGACAATTGCGCGGTCATGCAACATTTACCCATATGAAATTTTGCATTTTTTTCTCACAAAATAGAGCTTTCTTTTGGTGGTATTTAATCGCCACTGGGCGCTTTACTTTTTGCGCTATAAATTAAAAATGTGCAAAAAATTTGAAAAAAAAAAAAAAAAGTTTATTTGTTTCTTTTATAAAATTTTTCAAACAGGTATTTTTTCTCCTTCACTGATTTGCGTTGATGAGGCGGCACTGATGGGCACTGATAGGCGGCACTGATGGGCACTGATAGGCAGCACTAAAGGGCACTGATAGGCAGTACTAATGAGGTGGCACGGATAGGCGGCACTGATAGACAGCACTAATTAGGGGTCACGGATAGGCGGCACTGATATGCAGCACTGATAGGCGGCACTGATAGGTGACACTGATGATGGGTACTGATAGACGGCACTGACTGGCATCACTTCTGGGCACTGACTGGCGGCACTGACTGGCACAACCCCTGGGCACTGACTGGTGGCACTGACTGGCAGCACTGCTGGGCTGCACTGGTGGGTGGCACTGGTGGGCAGCACTGGTGGGTGGGCACAGGTGGGTGGCACTGGTGGGCACAGGTGGGTGGCACTGGTGGGTGGGCACAGGTGGGTGGCACTGCTGGGCACATGTAGGTGGCACTTCTGGGCACAGGTAGATGGCACTGCAGAGTGGCACAGGTGGGGGCACTGCTGGGCACAGGTGGGGGCACTGCTGGGCACAGGTGGGGGCACTGCTGGGAACGGGTGGGCGGGGCTAGTGGGCGCACTGCTGGGCGGAACATGCGGGTGTCACTGCTGGGCACCGATCATCAGGGCACTGATCATCAGTGCCCTGATGATCGGTGCCGATCTTCGCTCTGACAACTGCCGGTTCTCGGCAGTACTTTCCTCACGATCTGACAGCGTGAGGAAAGTGCAGCCGAGAACCAGCACTTGCATTTCCCTGTGATCAGCGTGTCATTGGACACCGCTGATCACATGGTAAAAGGCCGGTGGGATCGGCCTTTCACCACATCACGTGATCAGCTGTGTAGGACACAGCGATCACGGAGATCGCCAGGTGCGCGCCCCCTGGGGCGCGCAGGAGGAGAGCGCGTTCTGGGAGGACGTCATATGACGTCCACTCAGAACTGGCCGGCCGCGGTGAAGCCGTCATTCGGCTATGCGCGGTCGGCAAGAAGTTAATGTCTTCATAACTGAAATGAAAAACTTTACAAGTTCTGTATTCTTCAAAAATCAATGTATTTTCACAAATTGGCTACTTGAAATGCAAGCAAAATGCAGATTGCAAAATGGGAATCTATACTGCATGCATCTTTTATTTCCATTTTATATTTCATTCTAGTCAAGCAAACGTTAAAGTGGTACTAAAGGCAAAGTCAAAAATGACATATTGTATATAAGTCAGTCTGCTGCCACTAGCATTAATGAAGCAGTCTTTGTTTTTCAGAGTTTCCCTTGTAATATAGTTTTAATACCTGTTAATCTTGTCAATAGTCTGTTATTTTTCAACTTCCTTTCCCAGACCAAACTGCAGCAAAAGTAGAAGGTAGAGGGTTGGGACAAACCATTTAACACCGACAGGGGTGCTTTCAGTTATTCACTTTGTATAAAAACTTTATTCTAAAAGGCAAAAACTGTTTCTGTAACTGCTTAAAAAGTGTTAGCTGGACTTAGGCTTTAATTTGTTAGTTACTCATGTAACGTCTATCTAAATCTACAAGTACATCTATCACTACCCTCTGCAAACATTGCTACTGTCCAAGGTTGTCCCCATTGCTGCTCCATAATCAGAGGAACCACCCTAAGGCAGAAAGTGTATCACTGGCTAGATCACCAGGTGAAAATAAAGGAAAAAAAAAACTAAAAACGGAAAATGAATGCAGCCACCACACTTAAGGATTGGTAAACTGCAATATACTAATTTTTTTGTTTTGGGTTTAGATACATTTTAAATGCTGCTTATAAGAATTTTACATTAAAGAATATGTCATCCCAAAATTTCATACTCCTGATCAGGGGCGGACTGACCATTTGGAAACTCGGGCACTGCCCGAGGGCCGGGGGCCCCCTGAGATGCCCCTGGTACCTTTTTCATAGGCTTTTTTGAGTTTGGGCAAGGACACAGGGGTCCCATGATCCCCCATTGCTTGGGGGCCCCATGAGTTGTCAGTCCGCCCCTGCTCCTGATATGTGCCTGCTGCACCATGTACTTGTATGAAAAAGTATCCGGCTCTCTTTGTATGCTTCCTCTTTGTGAAATCCCTGGCGTTCCTGTCAGCCCCTCTGCTTTCCTATTAAAAACTGGCTAGATTAGGCATGACAGCACAGCGTGGTCAGTGTTCTGGCTCTGCCAGGAGCTAATCCAATGATCAGGCTTGTGCTGACATGCTCCGCCTCCCTGCACAACCATTCACTGGGAAGAGCAGTGTGCTGCTGTTTTCTCCTCCATGTGCTCCTTATGTAGCTGGGAACAGAGGGTATGTGATCACTATAAAAAATATGGGGAAAAGGGTATTGTAATGTTCTTATATGTAT